GAAAGGCGGGCTTGGTGCTTTCCTACTCTTTGTCCTGCGCGAGTTCGGTGTCACAAGAACCAGATTCCCAACCTCGCCGTTGACCAACATCGCTGTTAGCGCGGCCCTGGATCTGTTCGGAGCCCATCCAGGAGGCCTCCAGGGAAGGACAGCGATCTCCTCCTCCTCCTCCTCCCCCTTCCCTTCCTCCTCCTGCTCCTCCTTTTCTTTCCCCTCCCCCTCCTCCTCCTCCTCCTCCTCCTCCTCCTCCTCCTCCTCCTCCTCCTCCTCCCCCTCCTGCTCCTGCTCCTGCTCCTCCTCCTCCTGTTCCTCCTGTTCCTCCTCCTCCTCCTCCTCCTCCTCCTCCTCCTCCTCCTCATTGCCGACAGGCAGTTGTGTTCTCTGGGCAAGATTTGCCCGGGTCACCCCACGCATACAGGCCGTGAATATTTTAACCGCCTTGAAGCAGGGGTCCCCCCCAGGGCTCTCAGCAAGTCCGACCTGGTCAGGCGGCAGGAGAGAGCCACGCTTTAATGCGGACAGGCACTTGCATCCGCAACTGGTTCCACTCCACTCCACTCCTCCCCCCCCTCCTCCTCCTCCCTCCTTTCTCCTCTTCGAGGCGGAGGAGGGAGAGGCCCGAGCAGAAACCGACCTGTGGCTCCTCCAATCCGGGCGCCTTTTTTCCCAGACCTCGGCGCCTCCCGGGCCCCCTCCTGCCTCGGGCCGCGGAGCCCAGGAAGCACACGGGTGCAGGACGCAATGGATTTCGCCTCGGGCCCCTAAGGGCTTGGTCGATTTCTCGCCCATCGACTTGTGGGGATCGAGCCAGATACATTCAGGTAGGTCCAAGAAGATCGGGGCACGTCAGGGAAATCCAGGTAAGTCCAGATAAACGGAGATAGGTCGAGGCAGGTCCAGGTAGATCCAGGCAAGTCGAGCAAAACATCCGGGCAGATCCAGTTAAATCCAGAGACCTGTGGGAGAGTTGGAGCAGTTCGCGGCCGCTCCAGCGCGAGCCGAAGGACGGCAGAAGTCGTTCAGCCTTTCACGATCGGGGGAGGGGTGGAGACCCCTGGGGGCCGCGCGTGGGAGAAACATGTCGCCGGACCTCTGGGAGAGCAAGGAAGACCAGAGCCCCGAATCATCAGAGGTATCTCGGGCCATGGCTAGCTCGGGTTCGTTTTTCGGGAATCCGAACCCGAGTCACCCCGGGCCCGAGTTACCCCGGATAATTCGGGCGTCTAAAGTCCAGAGCCCCAAATCATCAGGGCTGACTCGGGTCAGGGCTAACTCAGGTTTTTCGGGAATCCAGACCCGAGTTACCCCGGGCCCGAGTTACCCCAGATAACTCGGGCGCCCAAGGAGACCAGAGCAAGCCCAAGACATTGACGTTGCAATACGCCCTCCCGTGCGAAACCCCCGCCTCAGCAGTTCCTACGGGCACTTTTTTTTTTGCTCGCTGCGCGAAGCCCCCGCCGCCTCGAGAGGCGAGCGCCACATTGACCCGCGCATCGGGCGGAGGGCTGCGCATTGAACAACGAACGTGTTCCCTCCGATGTGTCCGACGCGCGGCAAGGCTTTGGGCCTGCAAACTCCAGGAGGTGCCCCGCGACAGTCCTGCTTCGGAAAGGAACCGCCCCCATGCGTGCAGCTGCTGGACGTTTTAGGATTGACGAACCAACAACACACACCCATACCCATAGGGGGGTCGGAGAGGGCTATGGGTGCGTGTTGTCGGATGGGGGTCCCCGCTCGAACGGGAGCGTTCCCCAGGGTCCGACAACCCGCACCCATACCTATAGCCAGTCCTCCTCTCAACGACCCCCCTATGGGTATGGGTGTGTGTTGCTCGTTCGTCATAGGATCCTGGTCCCACATGCAAGCGGAATTCCAGTGAGAACCCCACTATCAGGGACCGCTCTTTTTCCCGTCCGTTGTCTTCGCGTGGAGGGCAACGGGTGAAATCTGAAATGCCGTTTTGATGGATTTTCGAGGCTGGAATTTGCAAAAGGTGAACCACAAAACGAATTGTTTTTCGAGGCGCAAACGCCCATGTGGATTTCACCCTGAGCCCTCCACCCTCAGAACATGCTCATTTTTTCTTCCGCCCGTGCAGATGCTGCACGCGTTGGATTTAGGGCGACGTTCTTTGAGCACGGCCCAGGCAATGGCCCCCCTTCCGAACACGTGCGAGACGCTTCAGAGATGGATCCGCGCGGCGCGGGCGCGAGCGTCGCATGGTGAAGAAGTACCCCACGGTCGTTGAAAGTAGGCATGTTTGTATTCCCACATTCCAATCTACTTTCAGCGTCTTCCTATTTCAACAGTCGAGTGGTTTTCCCTCTTCCCTCCTCTTCAGGAGGCGGGCGGAAACCCAATATATTTCCAACGCCTTCCTAGTTCATGTTTCTACTTACTTCTTCCGACCGATGGGTATTTGCCTGCATCCATGTGTTGGAACGTCTGATCTTCGGGATCGGGGATCGCAGCGCGGTCTCAGTCGAACTGTCCAGGCCGGTTTGGCGACATGCGTTGTGGCGCGGCGGGGTGGAGTTCATTCTCAGGAGAAATGATATGAAGATCTTGATGTTGATGATGAAGTTGATGATGATGATGATGATGATGATGATGATGATGATGATGATGCTGGTGTTGATGCTGATGTTGTTGCTGCTAATGATGATGATAATGATGATGATGATGATGACGATGATGATGTTGTTGCTGCTGCTCATGATGATGATGATGATGTTGTTGATGCAGATGATGGTGCTGATGATGAGGCTGCTGGTGGTGATGGCTATGCTGATGGTGGTGATGGCTTTGCTGATGGTAATGATGACGATGCTGATGATGACGATGACCATCAGGATGGTGATGCTGGTGATGATGAGTTTGCCGATGCTGGATATGCTGATGATGATGGTCATCATCATCATCATCATCATCATCATCATCATGAGGATGATACTGGTACAGATGCAGATGCCGATGCTGATGAGGCTGCTGATGATGATGATGATGACGATGATGATGATGCTGATGATGATGATGATGATGATGATGATGATGATGATGATGATGATGATGATACTGACGATGATCAATATGCTTATAGCGACAATCATAATGCTAATGCTGATGATGATGATGCTGATGATGAGGATGACGATGTCGGCGGTGGCGATTACGATGTTGTTGATGATGATGGCGAATACGATGATGATCATAAGCAGGAGGAGCAGAGGGATTGGGAGGGGGAGGATGGGGAGGTAGAGGGTGAGGGGCCGCGGGACGAGGCGGCGGAAAAGGCGGAAGGGGCCCGAAGGGAGGCCACCTTTGCGGACGTCTTTAAGTATCCAGCGGCGGCGGACAGCATAGGTGGTGCTGTCACCGCAGGAATATGTTGTTGCGGTTGTTGCTGTTCCCGATGTGTTTGTGTGTGTGTGTGTGTGCGTGAGCGTGTGTATGTGTGTATGTGTGTGTGTGCGCGTTCGTGTGCGTTCGTGTGCGTGTGTTTGTGTGTGCGTGTGTATGTGTGTGTGTGTGTCCCGTCTTCAGCTGCCCCGGGTTGAGCTGCCCCGTCTTGGTTCACCCCCTCCTCCCTCCCCCCCTCCCCCCCTCCCCGCGCCACAGGGCTTCTTCGCGCTTGTAAGAAACAGTGTGTGTGTGTGTGTGTGCTTGTGTGTCTGTGTCTGTGTCTGTGAGTGTGGGTTTGTGTCTCTCTCTCTCTCTCTCTGACGAGGCGCGGCACTGGTGGGGCGTCATGGCGCTACGCCGACTGCAGGGGCGTGCGCGAGGGTCGTGCCCCTCTCCCCTCGTTGTCGCCGTGGTTCTCCTCGTCCTCGTCCTTTCTCATTCCCAGGCGAACCTCCCTCCTCCCGCGTGAACATGCCTCCTCCCTCGTCTCATTCCTCCTCCTCCCAGGCGAACCTTCCTCATTCCCAGGCGAACCTCCCTCCTCCTTCGTCTCCTTCCTCCTCCACCCTCCAGCGTGAACATGCATCCTGTGAACCTCCCCTTGCTCCCCCGTGGGTTTCTCCGGGCAGAGGGCGGGGAGGAAGACGATGACGAGTGGAGGGGCAACACCTGTGCCTCCTCCGAAGTCTGCAGTTTTCGATCTGTATTCGTTTTTCGGTCGGCGGGCCCAAGGTGCCTGAGGTTTTGGCTTCCTGAGCTTCAGAAGTTGAGGAACAAACCGGCGCCGCGATTGTTTCGTACTGCCAGGAGTCTTCAGGAGTGAAAAAAGCACACAGACAAGTCGTCGATTCCCCAGAACATATAGGAACATGCGGGAAGTGGGGGGGAAGATAACAATACAGAACATGTAGGAAAGTATGGGGGACTATGTTATTTGTGTGTATCTATTTGTGTTTCCCAGGGCCCCTTCAAGTCTGGCAGTTTGGGGGGACGGCAGTTGAAAGCTGCTCCGGCAGATCTTCACCTGGGGAGGGTCCGCCTCACGGTCCTCCCCCCAGATAACAAAATCACGGAAGTTTCCGCTCGTTTGGGATGTTATGTTTAAGTCGGGCTTGCCCCTCTACAGGGGAAAACTCAACAAATAGTCAAACAATAGTTTGGGGACGATTTTTTGGTATTGTTTGACCGTTTGGGTGCATTTTGGGGTATCTTCCATTTTCCTCCCAACATCCGCCTGTAGGGGGACACGCCCGACCTAATGTGATGTACATTCGCGAGTAGCGCCCAATAGTTTTCAGCAGCGCCCAATAGCGCCCATCAGCGCCGAGCAGTGCTGACATAGCGCCCGGCAGCGACCAAGGTTGCCCCACGTGAGGGAGACGCCCTCTGCTCGCCTTGCGCGGGACCGGGCGCGCTGCTGGGCGCCCCCGGGACGACCAAGGCTTCCGCGAGCTGTTTGCTCCTCCTCCTCCTCCTCCTCCTCTTCCTCCTCCTCCTCCTCCTCCTCCTCCTCCTCTCCTCCTCCTCCTCCTCCTCCTCCTCCTCCTCCTCCTCCTCCTCCTCCGCCTCCAGAGGGCGCCCCGCCCCCCCCCCGGCAGGCGGAGACCATCAAGATCCTCAACGACGACGACGCCCTGGAATCCAGTCGCGCTGCCGCGCCCCGTTCACGCCGCGCGGCTGCGGGGAGTGGCGTGGTGAGGTCGGGTTGGTCGGGGCACGGCGAATGACCTCACAGGAGGAAAAGGTACCCATACCTGAAAGAGCGCCTTCTGTGGTCGCTTGGAGGGGGGGGGATCCCCCCCCCCCCCCCTGGATGGACGGGGAGGGGGGGGAGGTTCGAACCCCCCCCGCCCCCCTCCTCCCGTGACGGAGGGGGGGGGTTCGAACCCCCCCCGTCTCCCTCTCCTCGGCTGGCGGCGGCGGCGGCGGCGGGGACAGCAGGCGGCGGGCGGCGGCGGCGGGGAGGGTCGACGAGGACGACGGTGGTGGTGGTGGTGGTGGGTTGTGGTGGTGGTGGTGGTGGTGGTGGCGGTGGTGGTGGTTGTGGTGTTTGTGTTGTGGTGGTTTGTTGTGGTGGTGGTGGTGGTGGTGTGGTTGTGGTGGTGGTGGTGGGGTGGTGGTGGTGGTGGTGTGGTTCGGGCCGGGCGAAAGGGGGGGATTGGGAAAGGGGGGGTTACGAAATTTGCTGCATGCAGCTGGTTTCGGCCTCACCGAGGGGCCCATTCCTCGATACATAGCCGCCTCCGGCGCTGGGAGGCGCCGGGAAAATCAGCTACGTGAGCTGATTCTCAAACCCCCCCTTTGCTATCCCCCCCTTTCGCCCGACCCGAGTGGTGGTTGCTTGTGGTGGTGGTGGTGGTTTTGTGGTGGTGGTGGTTTGGTGGTGGTGTGGTGGTGGTTTGTGGTGGTTTGTGGTGGTGGGTTGTGGTGGTGGGTTGTGGTGGTGGTGGTGGTGGTGGTGTGGTGGTTTGTGGTGGTGGTGGTAAGTTTTGCTGCTGGGGGCGGTGGTGGTGGTGGTGGTGGCGTGGTAGATTGTGGTGGTGGTGGTGGTAGTGGTGGTGGGTGTTTGTGGTGATGGTGGTGGTGATGGTGAATTGTGGTGGTGGTGGTTGTGGTGGTGGTGGTTGTGGTGGTGGTTGTTTGGTGGGTGGGTGGGTGGTGGTGTGGTGGTGGTGGTGTGTGAGGCTGTGGTGGTGGTGGTAGTGGTGGTGGTTATCGTCGCTGCGTCCCCGCCGTCGCCGGCGCCAGCGCCGGCGCTGCTGGCCGCCGCCAGCGCTGGCGCCGGCGCCAAGGGGGGGGGGGGTTGAACCTCCTGGCGCCGAGGGGGGGTGGGGGGGTTGAACGCCCCCCCCTTGGGCTGCCTCTGGTCATCGTCGCTGCGTCCCCCGCCGTCGGCGCTGCTGGCGGCCGCCGGCGCCGGCGCCGGGGGTCGGGAAGGGGGGCGTTGGGGGGGAGGGGCCACCGCCCGGTTCGAAACGCGCTGGCCGCCGAATGTTCCCAAGGCGAGCGCCCGTGAAACGCGTTTTCTCCGACATCTCTACCATTCCTTGGCTGTCACCTTTTTGGGCCTCCTGGGGGGCCCTCGTCGCCACCGCTAGATTCGCGTCGAAATCCTGGTCAGAACGCACCCCGTCATTGAGGGCATTCTTCTTGAGGGCCCCTCGGGGGAGAACCCACTGATCTCTATCTGAACACTTTGGTTGTCGTTGTGATCGATTCGGCTGTCCTGGACGCCCGCATCGAGCAGAACAAGTACCAAGCTGGTTTTGGTGTTTTGACGATTCTTGGCATGCGCAAGACATCCCCCAGGATGTGCCCTCGGCCTCGCAGCTAGCTGGACGCAACGACGATGACGTTCTGAAGGTTTTTTTGGGTGCTTTCTGGGGTTCTCGTCGCCACGGCGGGGCGCGGATAAAAGTGGCCAGGCTGGCCATTGGCCAGGCCGGGCGAAACATTTGCTGCAGGCAGCTGGTTTCGACCTCGCCGCCAGGCGCTTTCCTCGATGTTTTGGCGCCTCCGGCACAAGGAGGCGCCCGAGAAACCGACTGCATGCAGCCGACCCCCCCTCTCCCTATCCCTCCATGTCGTCCGCCCGGGGTATAGGCGGGCGGCATGTGAGGCAGGGGTGCGCGTCCTTTGCTTCTCCTTTCCTGTCAGGTTTGCCAGCGGGCTGCAAGCGTACGGTTGATGAAGAGAGGTGCTTCGCGAGGAGCGCTCGCGTGAAAAAGGGCAGAAGAACACTGATCGGACACGTGATGTATCCGACAAGCGTTGATGGGTTCAAAGAAAGTCTGTGTCATAACATTGTCAGGCGACGAAGTCTGCATACATCCACTCCTCCTTGGCCAGGTCCATCCTGGACCTAGGAGCTGTGTGTACGCCCTCTTGGCCAAGCCAGGAGGGCGCGGCGTATATTTCGCTGCTGGGTTCAGGATTGGCTTGGCCAGGAAGCAGTAGATATGTATAGATCCATAGTGCGGTGTGCTCTCCTCCACGTGTTTATATGTTCGCGAGTGGTTTACCAGCGCTGCTGGGTACAAAGGTGCTCGGCTGCTGAAACCGACTGTTTGAAGCCAGATGCCCCCCGCAAGTGGGGCGGCGGCAGATACCACAATGCGCCATGTCAGGTTTTGCACTACCAAAGCACACCATGCAAGGATGTACTAGACACTGAACTGTGACATGATACGCATTGTGGTGTCATGCAATGCTCTAAAGGGCGTTGCATGTGATTGTGCCGCGTAGCACATTCACGCTTCCGAGAGACCTAACATCCTTACTGGTGGCGCGCCACTGCTTGCCTCAAGAAGAATATGGGGACCTCTTGAGGCCTCAGAACATTATCCTGACGATGGGGCGAGAATGAAATGGGGTCCACGGGAGCCGCTGCCAAAATTTTGGTTCCGCCATGGACGTGCAAGGCCAAACGTGTGGCTAGAAACGTAACGGGCCTGAGCAAAGCACGGGCGCGTGTTGAGGTCGGTATGCGTGGGTGCCTCGGAGTTTCCTCGCCCCCCCTATGATGAGGAAGCCGCCGCAGAAAAGGGCTTGACACCCTGATCACCCGCAGCGGCGCGGACGATGCCTGCGCCGCGTGGCCCGAGCCAGAGAGGCCACCTTGCCCTGCAGTTCTGCAGGGGGGGCGGCAAGTGAGCGTTCGGAAGTTATCGCGTTTCGTGCATCATCACTGTGTGACCTGACCCCGTCCCCTCTGCGGAAGTCTAGAGCCCGTTGCTCGACGTGACCACGCCAGGCGGGGATAGATGCCCACATCTCCGTCGGAGTTCGCGCGGCATCCATCCCCGCCTCTGGGGGGAGGCTGGCTGGCGGTGTGTGGGGGGGTTTTTGGCCGCCCGTTGGGGACGGGGGTCGGCCAGACGATGCTGAACGCAGCGTGGAGTGCGCATCCCGGCATCCTTGGACGCGGAGGAGGAGGAGGAGGAGGAGGAGGAGGAGGAGGAGGAGGACAGCGACAGCAGCCGCACCACGCGGCGGCGGACTCTTCAAAAAGACCCTGCCCACGCCGGCGCTCGTGCAGCTGGAGGCGGCCCGGCCCGCCCCGACGCGCGCCGGGCCAAGGAACGGCCAACTGGGGACTCCCATGTCCTTATTGCACCGGCCATTTTGAGCATTTTTCCTCTATCCCCACCTCTGCCCCTGCTCCACCTTCACGTTCCCCGAATCGACCACGAAGACGACAGCACAACGGCCTGTCGTCCCCAGCAACCACGAAGTCCCACACTTCCGCGTCTGCCCCTCGCATCTTTACTGCTCCCTTCCCACTTCCCGCTGCTCCCCCTCCTCATCCCCTCGCCATGGAGGGACAGGGTCCTGAGGGAAACGGGTTCTGGAGCTTCTGGTTTCCATCCTGGAGCTTCCAGGACCGTCGAAGGGCCCCAGGACCGCAAGAAAAGTATTCAGCGTGAAGAGTTGGTCCGAGGAGACGGCCCTACTGCCCAGGGCTCGCTCCCCCCCAGGGCCATTTCCTACTTTCGAAATGAAAGCAGCATATAGTCCGCGCAGATTTCTTTAATCGGCGCTGCCCCCCCTGGCAGTGCCTCCGACGCCGCTCCTGGCTCGGCCCGCACGCCAATGAAGGATGTCCAGCGCCGATCCAAGAATTCCACACGTACCTCCGGAAGTTCATAGTGCAGAACTTGCTAGATCCATCCATGTCCGTTCCTCGTCCTCCTTCTCCTCGTTCTCCTCCTCTCTCCTGCTCTCTCCTCCTCCCTCCTCCTCCTCCTCCCCGTTCTCCCCCATCTCCTCCTGCTCTTCCCCCTCCTCCTTGTCCTCCTGATCCCCCTCCCCCGCCGGCGGGTTTGTTCTCTTTTCCGGCCTCCGCCGGCGCAGGTGACGAACAGGCAGGCGCAGACGGCGGCCCTGAAGGCTTTGCCCCCCCCCTCCTGGAGGAGAGGACTGAGGGAAAGCGGGCGCGGGGGCAGGAAGAGGGCGAGGGGAGGGGAAGGGAACTTCGGGAGGGCGGGAGAGGGCAAAGGGACTTGGATGGGGAAAGGATGGCGAGGGGGGGGGGGGCGAGGAGGGGAGCTGAGGGAAGGGGGCGAGGAGGGGAAGTGGAGGGATTTGGGAATGAGGGGTGGCTGAGGAGAGGGGAGATGGGGGAGCAGGGAGGATGGGAGGTGGTGGCGGCCTGGAGGCGAGGGGATGCGGCTGGGACGTTTACACAGGGGACGGGGAGGTGAATGCGGCGGAGGAGGGCATTGCGCAATCATGCACTGTTTGGAGCTCCGCACGGATTTCTTGGATCGTTGTTGGGGTCCCCCCGGCGGCGCCCACGGCGCCGCCGCTGGCGCGCTCTGCGCGCCAGGGAGCAGGGGACCGGCGTGGATCCAATAAATCTGCCCAGAGTTTTATGCCGTGTCACGTCCACGTCCTTCTGCACAAATGGAGATCACAACAGAACATTAGTCAGCTTCGCGACGACACAGCTGGCCAAAGCACCACCCCCATCAGCGATCACTTTCGGGACTCTTTCAGGAGCGAATTCTGCCCAGATGTGCCGACTTGGCATTCCCGTTCCTTCTGCTCTTCGGGGGGTGGAAAGGAACTGACGTGCCGTGCGATGCTCACCTTGCAAAATCCAGGGGCAGGGGGCGCGCAGATGGAGCGCACGTCGCGCGGCGCGAAGCTGCGGCACGCCCATGCCCCCCGACGGCGCCGGCGCCCGGGCTCGGTGTGGAACTTCGCCGTGTGGCTGATCTCGGCCAGCATCGAAGCAGAGAGGACCAAGCGGTCTAAGCATAAACTCGAGAGGGGAAAAAACACACCGACACAATTCATCGTCGATCCCCCAGAAAAATATGGGAAACTATGGGAAGTGGGGGGAAGACAAAAACTTAGAAAATATTGGGAAATATTGGAAAATATTGATAAACTGTGGAAACATGGGAAAATCAGGGGAATCCTTTTGTTTGTGTGTATTTCTTTGTGTGTCTCAGGGGCCCTTCAAATAAACGTTCGGCAGCCCGCGCAGATGTCTCGCATCGGCTCCCGGAGTGTACCCCGGCGGCACCTCCGGCACGTGCCGCCTCTGGCGCGGCGCGCCTGCGCTGCGCAGATCCAGGAGTTCTGCGCGGACCATCGGCAGCTGTACAGTCGGGGCCCTGAATAAGAAACCCTTTTCGTTGGGGAGGGGCTCCGCGTTCCTTAAGTGTTTCACAGCTTGCCTCAGGTTTGCCTTATGTTTTCGATCGGAAATCGAAGTTTGACTCATGGAAAAAAGGGGCCTCGTTCCTTATTTAGGGTTCCTTAGGTCAACGCCCCGACTGTATGTTCATGCCTTTTTCAGGAGGAAAGAAAACACACAGACACAATCCATCGTCGCTTCCCTCCAGAAAAACAAGGAACATATGGGAAGTGGGGTGGAAGGCAGACACCCAGAACATATGGGAAAACAGGGGGATATGATCATTTGTGTGTATTTATTTGTGTGTGTCCTGGGGCCCCTTCAGTTCTGTGGTTCCTCAATGAATGGCCCCCAACGTCGAGACCCGGCTATCGTTCAAGGTTGACCTTTGCACGGAGTATCTGACATCAACGCCCACCTCAATGATTTTACCCTAGGTGGCCTGGTCGCGAGTTGTAGGTACAGTCAAACCTCATGGTAAGGATGGGCTACGATCGCAAGGGTAATCTTGCATTCTTGCCTCCTCGGTCCATCCGTGGCCACTTTCGTTGGCCGCGCCACGCTCGAAACGCTTTGAAACGGCCTTTCGAGGTCCTTGCATCCATGTCCTGCGTCCTTCTGAAACAGGTCGAACGTGGGGGCGAGGTGGAAGGAGGAGGAGGACGAGGAGGAGAAGGAGGAGGAGAGAGGAAGCATCGGATCGCCGAAACAATGCAATCCGCGGGGGCGCGAAGATAACCCAGTTTCGCGGCGTACGCCGCAAACGTGCCCTTCTCCAGGGCGGCGTACCCATCCAATAGTGAGTTTGCCCGTGGTTGGTTTTCGTGCTCTGTCTCTCTCTCTCTTTCTCTCTTTCTTTCTCTCTCTCTCTGTGTTTGTTTTCTCTCTCTATCTCTCTTTTTCTCTTTTGTTCCTAGCCGTCCTGTGGTGTTGGGTCTTCGGTTTGAAGAGGCAGCGCCCCGCGTCTTCCGTCCCCTCCTTGCCTCCCTCCTCCTTCTCCTCATCCTCCTCCTCCTCCTCGATCCTCCTCCTCCTCGGTCCTCCTCCTCCTCGGTCCTCCTCCTCCTCCTCCTCATCCTCCTCCTCCTCATCCTCGGTCCTCCTCCTCCTCCTCGCTCCTCCTCCTCCCCCTCGCTCCTCCTCCTCCTCCTCCTCCTCCTCCTCCTCCATCTCCTCCTCCTTCTCCCCCTCATCCTCCCTCACACCATGGCAGCGCCGAGACAGCGCGCCGCAGCGAGGTTCTCGGCAAGCTCCAGCCGTCGAGGGCGCCTCCGCGGGCACCCTCTCTCTATATACGAAAGCAACAGACGTAACACAAACAGGTGGAGACCGGTGCCAAGAAACTCCTGGCTGCAGGGAAGACCCATGCCAAGAATAGGTCGGGGGCGGACAAGAGGGGGGTGATGACTAGGGGGGGGGGGATATCATGGCGTGGGTCATGATATTTCCCCAGATTTCATGGCGCCTCTTCTTGTTTCATTACGTCCCTGTCCCCCCCGCCGGGCCGCGCACATGCCGCCGGTCATGATTTGCACCCCCCCCTCTTGGACACCCCCCTCTTGGCCGCTCCCGAGAATAGGGAAACGAACAATGACATGAACATTAAACGTCGGAGGTCCGCGCGGATTTCTCGGATCGGCGCTGAACCCCCCTAGCGGCGCCTCCGGCGCCGCCCCTGGCGCGCTCTCCGCGCGCCAGGTCGGGGGGTCCAGCGCCGATGCAAGAAGTCCGCGCGGACCTCTTGGTTTTAATGTTCATGCCAAGCTTGGACCCCCAGGAACACCCTGTTGGCCTGCAGGGTGCCCTAGGTGCCCTGGGCTTCGATGGTACTGCGATGGAAAGCGCGGCGTTCCCACACCAAGAATCAATGGACGTCCCGGAGTCTCAGGGTGGGGTTCCTTGTTGAAGGTTTCTTGGGGTCGGGCCCCTACTGTACCAGTCAGGGGTGGCCAGTTCCGCCAACGAGTGTCGTTGCTAATAGCTTACTCTGCTCATGGTAAAACTAGGCAGATAAAGACCAGCTTGACCAAGCGCGGCCTCCAGAGAAGCAGGGCCAGGCCGGCAATGTAGAACGGAAGGTCCACCCTGGACGCCTTCTCGAAGGAGGAGAAGGAGAAGGAGAAGGAGGAGGAGGAGGAGGACGAGAAGGAAAAGGAAAATTAGGAGGAGGAGGACGAGAAGGAGAAGGAGGACGAGAAGGAGAAGGAGGAGGAGGAGGAGGAGAATGGCCTCTCGGGGCCGCCCTCCTCCCCCCAGCGAAGGACAGGCGGCCCCTCCCCGACCATTGGCGTCCCCTTCGCGGCGGCTTCCAGGGTTGGACCATAGGGGAACAAAAAAACGTGGCACAGACACACACACACACACACATATAAAAAAAAAAACTCCGAGGCCGGCGCGAATTTCTCAGATCAGCGTTGGGCCCCCCCGGCGGCGCCTCCGGCGTCGCCCCTGGCGCGCTCCGCGCGCCAGGGAGGGGGGTCCAGCGCCGATCCGAGAAGTCCGCGCGGACCTCCGATCTTTTATGTTTATGCCACTTGTTGTTCCCCTAGACCAACACGGGGCAAGCTCAGCCCAGAGCGCGCCGCCCTGCAGGTGCAAGGGCACGGGCCCAAGGCGGCACCGGCACACCCACCACCGCGCGGCGCGGGACCGCCTGCGGCATACAGTGCCGTTTTTAATACATGCTCCGCGTGCGGATCATGTGTTAAAAAAATGCAGGTATCTGGTATTAAATGACAGCGATGAGTTCATGCATGCATTTATTCATGCATTGCTCATGTATCAAAAATCCCATATTCAAAAAACACATGTATTAAAAAAAACTGCCCTGTACGGGCACAAGGCGGCGCCGGCATGCCCACCACCGCGGGGCGCGGGACCGCCCGCCCCGAAGGCAGCCGCCCAGGCGGGGGAGCGCAGGCCGCGCCATGTGGGCAGCGACGCTGCGCCTGACACGCACAGCGAGCTACTTGGGCCCACCATGTTACCAGGAGGAGGAGGAGGAGGAGGAGGAGGAGGAGGAGGAGGAAGAGGAAGGAGGAGGAGGAGGAGGAAGAGGAGGACGAGGAGGAGAAGGAGGAGGAAGAGGAGGAGGAGGAGGAGGAGGAGGAGGAGGAGGAGGAGGGAGCGGGGAGGGAGCGGGGAGGGAGGGAGGGAGGGCGAGAGGGAGGAGGGAGGAGGGAGGAGGGAGGAGGGAGGAGGGAGCGGCGGAAGCTTCGTCACGAAGGGGGCCAGCGGCCCGGCCGCCAGCGCCGTCGCCGCCGCGACGGCCCGCTTCTCCGGGGCGGTCGCGCCAAGCTTGCCAGCGCGCCCGCCGGCGAAGGTCGCGCCAGTCTCTCCGAGCACGGCCGGGGCGCCCTGCCGGAGGCCCCAGGTGGCGCAGAAGCCTTCGAGACGGGTCGCACCGCGCCAGGTGCAGCCAGCCAACCCGACGGTCCACCAGGACCTCAGACAGCCGAGCGACGCGCCCTTTGCAATGCTCATGCCCACCAGGGCCGCGGGTACCAAGGGCCAGCCCAGGGTTAACTCGAACGCGTCTGACTCCGAAGTGGCCGAGACCAGCTCACGTGTTAAGTCCAAGGGCATCGATTTTGACCAGGACGTGGACAGCGCGGCTTGTTGACTGAGGGACGGGCACCTCGGCGACAACAGGTCGCATACGAACACGGTGAACAGCGAGGCCAGCGACGAGGCGGGCCCGGGCGACAAGACCTGCCGAGCTTGCCACTCCTGCTCGGGGCTA